CCTCCACCCGAGTCCTCACCTTTTCGACACAACACGTGGGCTGGTATTCAAGTGCCGCATAAGCCTATTCTGAACGGTAAGTCGTGTGTAGTCGCAGTAGTTGTGTCGTTGCTGTTGTTGGGCGGCAGCCGTGGCCGCGGCCACTGTGGCAGCCGTCGCCTGGTGTCGGGTAAGTGTGGCGAACTGCTGGGCCTGGGCTGCGGCCGAGTGGTGGGCCGTCATCGGGTCTCCACCCCCGCCGCCTGTCATGAGTGAGTGGGAGGCGCTGTTATGCCTCTGAAGTGTGGAGAACTGGGGGTGCGGTGACGGCCCGTGTGAGCTCATGGAGCCGACGCCCAAACGCATGGACGCCGACATCTGTTGCTCGATGTGCTGCTGATGTGCCCTAACCTGAGCGGCCCTCTGACGGGCCAATAGGTCCGAGAAGTCGGCGGTCGCGCCCGGAGGGGTACCACCCGATAGGGCTCGACTCTCCATTGCCTATAGGTTTTGGTTTTGGATATAATTTGTGTTTAGTTTGTTGTATTAGAAATTATGATGATAATAAATTTGAAATTAATGTACAATACATACATTTATACAATGTAAAGTTATATATTACAATATTAAAATGTTAAAATAAAATAAAATAATATATATATATAAAACATAAATGTCAACAAAATTAGTATTTTATTAATGAAAATGAATAAAATAATAAACTAATTGTACAAATCATGCAATTAATTGACATAAAAATTATATAAATCAATGCAAAACACAAATGAAATTTAATTTAAAAATAATATAATAATGATAAACAAAAACAATTAATAATTAAATTAGTTAATTAAAAATCGGTACATGCTGCATTGTCTCTGTCTAATAATTAAATACTTTATGTACAATATAAATAATGAAATAAAATTACAATTCAATTAGGTGAGAAAAATTGCCAAAAAAATTAACTAAAAAATATTTATAATAAATAAATGCGAAAAATACTATAAAAATAATAGTAAAATTAAAATTACTCAAAATTATACGGGCATTAAACACGTGATAAAAAATAAAAATTATTATTACTATTATTAAATCATGATAACTATTAATTAATTAATAATAAATTGCATTCTGATTATTATAGTTTTGGTAATCAAAATCGTAATCATAGTCGGGATAGTCTGTGTCCACCCATTCATCGGGGTATTCCTCGGGAGCGGGCATTACCTGCTGGTGGAGGCGCTGGTAGTGTTGAGCGGCGGTAGGCGGCTGCTGTGGGTGCGGGTGATGGCCACCGACGGGCACCGGCATCGGCGCGGAGCTCATGGTTTGATGGGGTGTCGGCGATATGATCCTAATCTGCTCCTTATTGACCATCATCTGCTGGTGATGGATGTGTTGGTGCTGTTGATGGGGTAGTGTTGAGGGCGGCGGTTGGGATGGTATGGGCGGCGGTTGCGGTGCGGCACCGGTGGGTTGGGGTGACTGTTGCCGCACGCGTTGCGCCCGCTGTTGCTGTAGGAGTTGCTGTTGCCGTAAGTGTTGCAACTGTTGTTGCCTTACCATCAACTGCTGGCTCTGACTTAAAGCTATCGGCGCCCGCATTGGGTCAGCGCCACCGCCCGGCGCCCCGCGATTAGCACCCGGGTGTCCGGGCGGCGGTGCGGCGAACTCCGGCGGTGGCGGCACCAGTTCGGCCAATACGTCCACTTCGTTCACTGCCGCCAGACCTGTGTTTTTTTGTATAATAATTTGTTAACAGAATATTCTGTGTATATATTCGGTGTATATATTGCTTACCCAAGGAATCGATCTGTAGTCGTATGGGTTGACCCGTTTTGGACTGGGAGGTGACGTATATCTTGTTCTGGTGCTGTTGTTGTTGTAGTTGTTGGTGGTGTTGGTGTTGTTGCTGCGGATGCGGTGGCTGTGCATTAGGATAGCTATTAATGGCGTTATTATTAGTGGTATTTGTTTTTGGCTCCGAGTTTGACGAATAGTTTGCTGTAAATTTCACAGACTTTTGCTGTAGATTTGGCACTAAATTACTGCTAATGGAGGGCCCGGTGGCGGCTGTCGGCGCGCTGCCCATCATTGACTGACTGCCGCTACCGGCGTTTGACCAACACTTGGGCCGCTGTTTGTGGCTATCGTCGCAACAGCTGGCCGTACGCCGAGTGCCGTAAATGCCGGCTCCGGTCGGCGGACCAGCCGTTTGACAGCTCATAATAGGCACGGGCTGTGCGGTGGCCGCCGATTGGGCCGACGCGGCGGCTGCCATGGCTGCGGCCTGACTGGTCTGCGCTGTGGCCGCCATAAGAACGGCGATCTTTTCGGACACGTTCTGCGAGTTTCGCCGATTTATTTGCTGATTATTTTGTGACATTTGCGCCCCTTTTGGCTGGTTTTGTGTGCCGTACTCTCCGTCCACATCCGATGAGACACCTGTTAATGCATTATATAATTAATTAGTTGTTTCATTAATCTATGCGTTAAGTAGTGTACTCTATATATAGTGAACAAAAATGCTATCGTTTGCCTAATTGTGTTTTTAAATACTGTATTTATGTTACGTTATAAACTTATGATTTTAGTAATGTTATGTTATCTAGTTTATTGATAATGTGTTTACTATGTTTAGTTCACTATATATGGTGTGTACAGTATAATAATTATGGTAAAAATCATTTACCGGATGAGCTATTGTCACAGCAATCGACTTCAAAACACGATTTACTCATTCGCATACTATTGCTATCATTAGTAGTATTGCTATTATTATGAGTACTAGCGGTGAGGGAGTCCTTCTTGGGCTGTACGACGGGTCCGACGACCGGCACAACCGGCGGGACAATAGTGTCGCCACAAATAGAGGATCGGCGCTCAAACTCGCGGATATTTTTCCTCACTTTACTGACGTTAGTCCCGGAGTTTGAATCGCTCAGAGAGTTATCATTTGACTTGTTAT